AGTGATCAGCCGTGATCGGCCCTCATGGGTGATCGGAATCGGCAGGAAAAAACCTGATCGGCACATCTTTACTTTATATACATGGTATTTTTCTAACAACTTAATTGTGCTATAAAACGTCACTATGTGCTGCCACTTCAAAAAGCTGTAAGCTATTTTGACTGTTGTGCATAAATTTTTCACCAGTAAATGTACAATAATTAAAAAATGGACTGGGTTGTAAAGGAAAATATTATCAAATATGTAAATCTTCCTATAAATACTGTACTTGGCCCAAGACACTTCATTTTGATTGGCAGGTAAATTGTTGAAACATCTAAATGCATCAAAAAAAGGAAAACCTACAATTTTTGTTGCATGAACCTTCTTGAGTTCAGTAGCCATCATATTAAAGTGTAGGGCCTTCCTTTGATACATAAACTGAGAGTTTTCTAAATAATTTATTTTCTATTGGAACCGAAATTTTCTAAATAATTTATTTTCTATTGGAACCGAAATTACTACACTGTATCAGTATCAGTAAAGGGAAGCTGCAGAATGTTGTTTTATGTGGCACAGCTCTTAAAACAGAAAAAAAGAAAAACTCGTAACTTACAAAATTGTACTACAGTTGTAATAACAGCCCAAACCGCAGTAAACTAAAAAGGAAAAAAAAGGCCACTTTTGGTCTGGACCAAACTAGCGGACCAAGGGTGTGAATGCACCCTTCGCCAAGTGTTAAAAGGTTGATTTTTTTTAATCATCAGACTGACGGTGCTAATTTTTATTTTATCGTTGTGCGTCCTCTTTGCAGATGTTCCTGCATGGTTGAAGAGCCTTCGCCTTCATAAATATGCATCCCTATTCTCACAGATGACCTACGAGGAGATGATGATCCTCACGGAGCAACATCTAGAATCTCAGGTGTTTCCATTTGTTCTGTCATCTTCACTGCTGCCGACTGTGATTTCTGTACAGTCTTCAAACCTGGTCATGCGTAAGCTCTCAATGAGGCGTGAAATTAAACAATGAACTCTGCAGTTATATTGAGCCAATCACACATTGTATGAAATGGTCGGATATTTTTCCCCTCGCCTTCCTTGAAACAGACGGTGATTAGGTTTGTTATTTAGTGACTGTATAAATTGCTCAGTGTGCCTTGAAAGACACGACTTCTCTCACCAGTCTACTGTTTGTCTTCTGTCTTGATCAGAACGTCACGAAAGGAGCGCGACACAAGATTGCGTTGAGTATCCAGAAGCTGCGAGACAGACAGAGTATACTCAAGTCTTTGGAGAAGGTGAATATTTCAGCTTCCTCTGAAGCTACGAAAAAGACATCAAACATCTAAATACAGAGTGTACACTTCCACATTTTTTGATATTGATGCCCTCGTGTCCTGTCAGGATATTTTGGAAGGGGGAAACCTGCGCAACGCCCTCCAGGAGCTTCAGCAGATCATCATCACACCCATTAAGGCCTACAGTCCGCCCAGCGCAGCACAACCCGTCTCGGACACCTCCACTTCCTCAACAGACGGCACAAAAACAGGAGCGGACAAAGAAGCGACGTCCGAGGACTTGCAGTCCCACAATCCACCCCCCTGCGACGGAGACTCGTCAGTCACGCCCATCTCAGATGGGGACATAGCGGGACAGTTCACTCGTGTCATGGGAAAAGGTAACATTAACCTCTGAGCTTGTGATTGTGGCTGATTGGAGTTAAATTTGGTTCATAAAGAAAGGTGACAGATTTGTCTTTTAGAAGGTGATTTTTTTTTTAACTTAAGTAGAATGTCAAATCAATGAGAAATTTAATAGTTGCACTGCTGGAGCAAAAAAAAACAAACCCCAAAATACAAGAAAAATCTCCTATGAAATCTCAAAGCAGTTACTTAACTGACATCAAGTTTTTCATAGCAGACCATGTGAACCAAAGATAATTTGTTTTTTTCATAGGTCAAGTTGTATTATGTGAAATAATTTATGCTCCCAAAACAAAACTTTTCTACATTGTGTTACAATGACAATCTTCAGCGCATTTCATTGGGATTTTATGTGATATAGCAACACAAAGTTGGAAATGGGGAAAAAAGATGTACACAATTTTTTGTAAAAAAAAATAAATAAATAAAAAAAAGAAAGAAACTAAAATGTTTATGTTGGCATTGAGCTCCACCTCCAGAGCCAAATCTTTGCATCACAACATTTCTCTGAAAATCCAACTGCAAGTCATTTAGAGTGTGTATCTACCAGATTTGCACCTCTAGAAACTAAAGATAAGTCCAGTAGGTCAGATTTGGATCCAATCATACAGATTTGATTTGGATAAGTTATAAACAACATTATTTAAATCTTAAGTCAGACTTTCAATTGGTCTGGCCTTTGAGTGGGCCAGTCTAACTTGTGTATATGCCTTACTCCAAACCTTTCTCCACTGGATCTTTGGGTGTGCGAAAATACTTAGCAAATGTTAATGATGCTGTAGTTCACATATAATTTTGACCCTCTTGAATTGGACTTTTAATATTTGTTACAATACTATTAGTGTAATAGGAGAGCAATACAAGTCCACACCAAACTACTATTAATGTGTAAAAACTTGTTTTAGGCCGTAAAGCATTTTTCTTCTACTAAACAGTTACGTTCTGCTTTGTCGGTCTTTTACATGAAATCCCACTTGATGAAATGCGCAAGATTCTTACACTTTGCTAATAGAATATTTATTGTCAATTGTAAATCCAAAAGTTATGACCTTTTCTCTAGTTCCCTCAACTCCTTAACATGTATGGTAACATGAAATATTGTTTGGCCATTTCAGTGTGCACCCAGCTGCTGGTTTCAAGGCCAGATGAAGAAAACATCAGCTGTTACCTTCAACTTATTGAGAAGTGTCTTGCACATGAGGTGAGAAGTAGCTTCTGTTTTTCTGTTCTTGGTCAGTATGTTGCATGCAAGCTGTATCAGTTATCAGAAACTATGTTTTTAGAGTTTTTTTTTTTTTTTGTTTTTTTTTTTTTTTTGGTGTTAGGCTTTTTCAGAAACTCACAAGAAAAGGCTGGTCACCTGGAAGCAGCAGGTCCTCAAGCTGCTGCGCCTGTTCCCTCGGAAAGCTATGCCGGACATGTCGGCGTACCGACAGAAAGGGTGAGGCTTCCTGCTTTCTTTTACCTTTGATCTTTCTCCTAACCACTGTTTTTGTCAGAATAACTTAATGTAACCTCACTGAATTCATCCTCCCGTTTCCTCCATATAACTTCCGTTTTCTATCTGTGCTGTTTCAGCTGGAACTATGGGTCAAACTCCCTGCCCACAGCAGGCTCTGTGAGTGGGGGTGTTAGCCGACGGGGCCAGCGGCAGTTCCCGATGACCCCTCGTGGACTCCCAGCTGGGCGCATGTGTCTTCCTGGCGGGATCGGTGGAGCATCTCCACGCCACACACTCGCCAATCCTGCGTTGGCAGGACAGGGTAGACAAGTCAGTATTACCTCCAGGGAATAAAAAATGGTTCCTGCCTATCATAGAGTGATCTTAAGCTAAAAGTGAGGTGTCCACTCATCTGTAAAAAGCCTTACATTTTTGTATGTAAAATGAAAGTCTTAAAATGCCTTAAATTCATTTTGAAAAATGTAAGTTGGCCTTAAATATTACTTTCAATGTTGTCTTCAACTTATCGAAGTTAATAAGTCTTAAATACGCTAGTGACAGGTCTTAAATTTTATTGTTGTGGGACTTTTCTGTCAGGCAAAAGTTTGAGTCACATGCCAACATCATGGTTGCGTTCTGTGACGAGACGTGGTCGCTAACTAGCTGCTAATATACCTTTGCTAGCTAACTAGCTTTTCTATGCATCTATCCTATATTAAGACTTTTTTTCTGTCTTAAATTTCATTTGAGCTGGCAGTAGAAAGGTCTTAAATTTGACTTGTTGAAACCTGTATGTAACCTAAAAAGTATTTCAGTATACTAATCTTTTTTGCATTTTGTCAAGTGATATCCATAGATTTGGTATTTTATGTGATTGAGTAAAAGTACTATATAAATTGTAAGGTTGAAGGGAAGAGAGAATATTGTTTGAAATACATTTTCCAAGAAATTAAATTAGGTAAATGTAAGAAAATCTTCTTACATTTACCATTTCCTCAACTTCACTAAAGGTCTTATGTTAAAAAATACAACATTTTTGTATTTTGATTTGCATAACATGCATACATTTCCTTCCAATTATGTGCTTCATTATGGTGGTGAATGAAACAGTGTCTCAATAAAATACATTAAAGATGTTTTATTGTGGAAAAAATAGGGAAAAATTCAAAAGTTGTCCGAAATCCTGGTAGGTGCTGTACCTGCTGTATGTGAAAGGTTAAAGCACTCATAAATGCGAAAATGTTGATAACTGGGATGAAGTTTAAGTGGATGACATTAGATGTAGCTTGTAATTAGAACCGAATGCATGTTTTGAAAACCTTTTTTACACACATTGGTTTTCCTTTGTTGTCCCTTTTTTGAATCAGATTTTTTTATTATTATTGTTATTGCATATATCTGAATGATTAGCAAACCATTTCCAAAAGTCTGAATCAGATTGATGTGACACGGTTTTGTCTTCCTCCACAGAACCTGTGGTTTGCCAACCCTGGGGGCAGCAACAGCATGCCAAGTCAGAGTCGCAGCTCTGTGCAGCGGACCCACTCGCTTCCTGTCCACACATCTCCACAAACCATGCTCATGTTCCAGCAGCAAGGTGGCGCACATCAGCATATGTTCATTATGCTCATACACTTACCCACAAGCTATAGTTATTACTTTTTATATATATTTTTTTATATATCTTTATATGTGTGTGTGTGTGTGTGTGTGTATATATATATATAAACAGTTTTTTATTAGTTTGAAACTAAGAATATTTTTCTACTACACATTTTTAACCGTGTTACTTGTGCTGTGTTTTTTTTCTCATCCAAAACTGTTAATTATTAATTAGATTATTTGAAATTGGCAAATTTGACTGCAACCTAATGGCTTGCTAATAGCTACAGAAGTTATGTGAACATTGTACGCTTGCTGCATGCCTCAAAATGTTTTGGTTCATTTTTGAGCCTTGCAGACAGACATTGCATATTTAAGGGTGTATCTCAATTGAACAAAATGGAACAATTAGAAAACAATAATACTTCTTTTACTGCTTAGACAATGGACAAAGCAGACTGCTTTCACTCGTACAACTCACTATCATGTAACATAACAATCTGTATATTTTGACTTGCATACTTAGCTGCATTTTTTTAATCTCTCAATACTATTTTTAGTAGCAGTACTGTATTGGCTGCTTTGGCTTTGATTGTTATTTTTCTAGTTTCTTTTACATTTGTGTGAGTATGCACGGCTCCACTTACTTTGACTTGCTGCTGTGACACTTGGATGTCAACTGTTTTCTTTGCTAACAATTTACCTGTCTTTGATTAGTTGATAAAGTAGAACTATTTGGTGCATTTTCTGTCCCACAGCATGCTTTAATTCTGATTTTTAAAATAATAATAATAAAAAATCACATTAATCCTCTTTCTACATTGCAAGAAAAACATGTCAGACATTTATAAAATTTGGCATGAAAAAAGCAACAAAAATCTTAATGTCGATTCTTCCCGTTTTCTTAAGAATGCCAAGTTCCAGGTTCTGACCTGGAGATCAACCCCACGCTGGAGTCACTGTGCCTCAGTATGACGGAGCATGCCTTAGGGGGTAAGTGTCTCCACCACACATTAGCTATCCATGCTACAACCTACGAAACCTTACATGTTTGTTCATTCAAAAAACACCAACTTGTGGTGTGTTTGATGGGAAATTAGGAGAAAACAGCTGTGTAGCCAGAAGAAAGCTTCTAATCACAATTTGCATTTCCATTACAAGTTGGTGCAAAACTTTGTCAATATTCTGCTAATCGCCGAAGAACAAAGTTTTGCATAGTTAAAATTATACGGAAATAAGTTTGTTCATGCTAGAAGTTGTTAAAACACTCACCGTGCCATCATCCTCCAGCTACTTCCTGCCTTCGTCTTCTTGGTTGTTTGTGTCAGTGGCAACATCTGGTTGCTGATCACGTGACTCGTGATGCAAAAAAAGTGTTTCATTCCAGTATTGTGAAATAAACCAATTTTGATACAGACAAAAAAAACCCCCCCAAAAAAACACCTCATTCTAGTGGCAAAAAATGTTATCAAAAAAACGACATACCTTTCTATCGACCCATTTGTGTCTAATAAAGCTGATGATGATGACTGCTTTTTTTTTTTTTTTTTTTTTTTTATTTGGGTTAAAATTAATTAAATTTTTTTTCGAAATTTAAAATTGTTTCGTTTGGG